GCAGCAGGCCACCCAGAAGCCCCCAGCCTGAGCCCTGGCTGTGGGGATCTCTGGTGACCTTGAAGGTCACACACGATAGGTGCTCAAGTCACATTGGCCAAATGCCAGAGGTTATGCCCTAGGCCTGGGACAGTTGCTCCCACTTGGCCACCACCGTGACCCCTAATAGACCAAGACCTAACGTATCCTGGCATTTCTGGCCTCCTGGCCTGGGCGAGCGCAGATGGATGTCTCAGTTGATTTACAGTCACTGTGCGAGGCAGGCCAGCAGGTCACCTTGATTTCAACAGCATGTGCCTTTTGCTCTCTGTAGCGGTCATGTCGTGCCTGCTCTGGGATCTCCAGCCCTGCTGACCTTGTCTCAAATGTCCCTGAGAAGGCTGGAGATGTCGGGGAGGAAACCTGCCCAGCTGCACCTGCAGTCCTCTTGCTCCTTCCCCTCCTCCCAGCCACCCCCTGCCTGTCTTCCCAAAGACCCCTCCGGTGCTGACCCCTTCCCACCTGCCCCTTCTCCCTGACACTTGCACACCTGCACGTCCCCTCTGGTCATCCTGCACCCTCTTGGGAGCCTGCAGCCTCCAGCTGGGCCACCACCCACCTCACAGCAAAGCTTCTCCATCTTGACTCAGGGCCACTCTGGGCAGGAACATGCCCTCCAGGACCCAGGGCTGTGCAGCCTTTCAGAGATCAGGACCCCCTTCCCCTTCTAGTGTGTGGGAGGTGCTCATCAGGACCACGAGGCAGAAAGAGGGGGTAATTGCTGGAAATACCCAAATCTAGTTTTTAAAATAAAGCACCACTGTGTCATATCGTGCTCCTGCTTATGACTTTTAAATGCTCAGAATGGAACCCAAATGCCTCCTCAGGCCTCTCCTCCCCGACCAGCTGTGCCATCTCCTGGACTGGATTTTGCCTTGGCTTCCCTTGCCCAGTTCTGCCTCTTTCTTGAGGGCTGCATGGACATTTGGGTGGGCAGAGACCTTCCCAGGAGCCTGGAGTTGCTTGTTAAGGAAGTCTTACTGAGCACCTACTGCGTGCTGGGTGCTGAGATGTCAGATCCCACCTGACTGTGCTCAGAGTACTGCTAACAGCAGCCTCCTGCCCCAGAGCCTGGACCCCATCTGTGCCCCTGGCTCTGCCTCACCCACCCCCACCACCTGTCCCAGCATGGGGCCCCTACTGCTGTGCCCTTAGCATGGCGTTCTTCCACCTGTCACTTTCTTCAAGCCTTTGCCCTCCCCCTGTTCATACAAGCTGATGAGGCTCCAGGCAGATGGAGGCCTGTGAGGTCTTCACAGACTCAGACCTGCACCAGGCCAGAGAATTCCCAAGACGGCTCCCCACAACAGGGCAACTGACCCAGGGGTCAGGGTACTCAGACACTGCGCCATGGATGCAGGCTTGGGCAGTTTGCGACAGGTGACGCCCTTTTCTATCCATGACCCCCTTGCCTCTCAGGGATCCAGAAAAGGCTTCGCCATTCTCTGCCAGCCTACCTGCTCACGGTCGCACAGATACAGCGTGGTGGCTTTTTTCCTGGGTTACCAAGCATCTATCTGCATGTAGACCTCCAAGCCCCTTCCGCCTGCTGGCAGAGGAGGTGCACGCATCTCCTGCTCCTTGCCATGACAGACATTGCTAATCAATGGAGGCATTCCTTCCCGTAAGCCTCGAATGGGCCTTGTTGCCCTCAAAAACCCTCTGGGCAGCCTTTAGTGTGGACCAGAGCCCACTCAAGGCTGGATCCTATTCTCCAATCTGGGAAACTAACCAGTAAGCTAGTTGGTTTGGGGGTTGCCAGAGTCGCACACTCAACTTCCTCACCTTTCCCCCAAACTGACTCCCACACCCCCGTGCACGAGGCTGGTGGGACGCTGACCATCCCATGGGAACAGGAAGGGCTGGAGCTGGCAGAGAGCTCCTCATGTGTCCCCACATGAGGAGTGAGGGAGCAGTGCCCCCAAGGCACTCGGCCTCTGTCCAGGTTCTCAGCTGGGAGATAAGTGTCTCCTGACCCTCAGGATCACTCCCTCCCTGTTACAACACTCACATGCTCACATCACACTCCTGCAGAAGACTAAACCCTGGAGGAGCCACGGAGCAAGCCTCAGGACCTGGAGAGCCTGGAACTGGGTGAGAAAGCAGAGACAGGTCAAGGGAACAAGATGCATGCATTAGTGCGCGGGACACCCAGCAAGGGAGAAGGACATTCACAAAGACCTGACCCTAAACTGTGCTCCCATTAACAGATTCTGGTTAACCTCCCATGCCACTTCTTTTTGGCAATTTCTGAGCTATTCCTCCAATGAACACAGAGCAGCTACAATGATGCTTTCCCAAAAGCAGCCTGGGTGGGTCTGTTTCTCTGTGAGCCTCAACATGGTTTCATTTTGACCCTGAGCTAGAAACTCCGTTCCTTACCTTCAACTTGGAACCCAAGATAGCCAATTGTAAGGGACATGGCTTTTGACTTGGAACCAGCTCCAAAGAGATTAGAAACCCACAGAAAACTACAGGCACTGCTGATGAAGACTCGCTTCTGTGCCAGATGTCCTTTTAAATCCAACAAGGAACCTGAGAGTCATTTTAAGGTTCAAAGCTAACTTCCTAAAAAGGAACTCGGCAGAAAGAAGGCTTCCCTCCAGCCCCCAAGAATCTACCCGGAATGTTTTTATCACTCAGACGAGAGCAAAACATGTCTTTATAGCTGTTCGCACTTTCCCAGTGGGCTTGAAACCAGAGAGCGCCATGAAAAAATAGAGCCCACGTTCCAAAAGCTGGAAATTTTTTGCCCATGGTGGGATTGCACGGGAACCTATTTGGGTGCAAGAATGCTGATTGGATTAGCTCTGAGTAGAAACGTGGGCTTTTCTACTTTGGGATGACAGTAACCAGGAGGAAGCAGCTGGGGATTGAAAGGAAGGTGGGAACTTGGGAGAGAGGAAGGGCATTTATGCCCTTTGAGCCCTTCTGGACCTCCCCTCCCTGGGCCCAGAGCCCCGCAGCATGGACCTACTTGCTGATTAGATGAAGGGAGTGCTTTCTAGCACTCCTGGTCGTGGTGGACTGAACTACGCACACAGCAGGCTGGATTAACATGTGCACAGAATTGAGCAATGCTCCCAGAGACACGCACTGGGAATGGCTCTGCCACTTCAGGATGGGACCTGGGATCAAGGCCCTTGGGCCATGTTCACCTTCCTTTCTTAGCCCCCAGGCCCCTGACCCTTTTAATGAGGGCACTGTCCAAATTGCTCATCCTTCCAGCATACCTAGGTATTAAAGTTTGTCTTTAATAGAAAACTCATCAATAATAAATTAGTGCCCCTGTTTCGAAGTTCATTGGGATGAATATCCCCCACGCTGACCCCACACATCCCCATGGGGGTGGGGACGGGGGGCTTGGAAAAGCGACACTCAGGATCAGCTCAACCGAAACCCCTCTCAGCCCCACGACCCAATAACTGCCCTTGGTGTCAGGGCGTGACCTGTGCTCCCCGCTAGGCACAGCCCTACCTTATCCCCTCTCCTGTCAGGACCACCGTCATCTCACCAATCCTTAGAGACAGGCGCTCAGCCATCAGTGGATGAAGCAATCAAGTGAGGCAGTGCTGGGGGTGACTTTGGAGTGTCAGGGCCCATCCTTACCCAGGGAGGGAGGCTAGAGGAGGCCGCCAGGGGTGGCGTGTTTGACTTAGGGCTGGCAACCTCGCTGGCTTCTTGGGATAGATCCTGGCCTCTGTGACTCTTGGAGCCAGTAGGGATGGGTGGCTAGATTTGGCCCCCTTGGGGTCTCTGGGTGGCCACGCAAAGTCTGGGCTGGCTTGCTCGGTGGCATGGGCTTTCTGGACGGAGGCGAAATGGAGCTGGCAAGCGCCTGTCCTCCTCGGGCTGCGCTGCCACTTCTGCTTCAGTGGTGTGGCCTGTGGCCTTCTGCAGAGACCCCCGGGCGGATTCCAAGACAATCTGGGGTCAGGAAGGGGTGGAGTGGGGAGTGGGGTTGAGAGAGATGGTCACTGTCTACCTTCACGGACCAGAAAGCTCAAGACTCCCCAGGGACACTGCCAAGTGGCCCCTGAGGCAGCCCAAGGCGTGGGCAGGGGGAAGGAGGGAAAATTAAGTGGGAAAACCGGCAGACAGAGGGGCAGGGAGGACAAAGAAACAGGACAAAGGACACAGCGGGAGCACGCCCACCAGCAGTCCCACTGCTTCAAGACCCTCATTTCTCCAAAGGCAAAGCCACGTCCGTGACCAGCAGAAGCCGCAGAACAGTCCAAAGTGCGTGAGTCGCCAGTCCCTGCTCTACGCAGCCAGTGGCCCTGGGAACAGCCCCCTTATCGACCAAGATGGAAATAAGAACCTTTCACCTCCCATCCAAGGAAACCGCGTCCCCAGCTGCGTCACCCCATACTCCGGCTTTGATTCTGAGGGGTGGGGTCTTTGGTCCTACTGAAATGGCCCTAGAGCAGTGGGCTGTCACTTCAGATGACTTCTGCTCCCAAATACACGTCTTACCCTGAGATTGGAGCACACAGGAATCGCAGCACTTCACAGTTGACATATACATTTATTACCAGGGCAGGAAGCAGGGCATGCAACCTGTGCGGCACTGGGCCCCGTCCTCAGTCCCCTGGTTGGCTTGGCACTGCGCTGCTGTCATCGTGGAAGCCTTGTCTTTTTAACCAGGGGCCCTGCAGGCTCACCAGGCTCGGGGCCCTGCAAGTGAGCAGCCACTCCTGTTTATTGTCCCATGTGCCCCCACAACCAGATGGGAGAGGAGCTGGAAGGAATTGCTGCTCCAAGTCACAGATGGTGAGACTGAGACCCTGGAGGGGTGAGGCACCGGCAGGATGGGCTTTCTCAAGCCCAGCTTGAGAGCCAGGGCTTCCTCAGTGAATGGGCATGTGGCGCTCCACGCTCCTGCCCGTCCCCGCAGGGACTTCTATTTAATTTCTACTTTCATCTCATTTCGTTAAAAAAAGTCAAAGCCATTTGCTCACCTGCCAGTGAGGAGCCCCTGGAGGCTGGGCTGCCAACAGCTCTTCCTCTCCTGTGCACTGTCCTGCCCGGGAGCCGCAGAGCAGACCTGTGTGCCCAGGTAAATCCACAGGCTCTCAGCTCAGTCCCAGAGGGCCACAGGCAAATGCTCCGTCCTCCCTGGGAAAAGCCTCCCGGGAAGCCCTCCTGACCTTCAGACCCGCCTCGGCCCACGGCTGGCCCCGTGCCGTGACAGTCACTTCCTGTATTTACCTTGCAGGGCGCCAAGGGCCCAGCCAGGGTGATGGCCGCACACCTGACCCAGAAGCCATGCAGGAGGGAAGGTGCCACCGGAGGTGAAGGCTGGGAATAGCTGGAAGGGCCCCTTGGTGCAAGGTAATACTGATCGTCCCACCAAAAAGGGCTGCGGGCACGCCGGCTCCCTGCCCTGGCGTGGGCCAGGCACTTGAATCTGAGATACAGGAAGACTTTGGATCCTCTCTGACATTCTGTTCTCTTTCTTGATTGGCCTCAGCCTGACCACTTCCAGGCAGGAGAACTGCTGCTTTTCAAGGAATTCTGCCCAATCATAGTCATTATTAATGACCCCTGTTGACAGTTTCCTTCTGTTCAATGCTCACTGCATGACAGGCTCTGGGTCAAGTGCGTAGTGTAATCTCTGTGTAATCCTTGTGTTGTCACAGTGAGCAGAGAATTATGCCCATTTTATTTTTATTTTTTAATTTTTTAAATTTTTTTAAAGAGAGAGAGAGAGAGAGAATTTTAATGTTTATTTTTTAGTTTTCGGCAGACACAACATCTTTGTTTGTTTGTGGTGCTGAGGATCGAACCCAGGCTGCATGCATGCAAGGTGAGCGTGCCACCGCTTGAGCCACATCCCCAGCCCGAGAATGATGCTCATTTTAAAGAAGCACAGACTCAGAGAAGTTAATCATTTTGCCCAAAATCACACAGCTAGTATGTTGGGTGTCCAGGATTCAAACTGAGGACCTTTGGTACCAAAACCTGGGCTCTTAACCAATACCAACATTTGCCAAGTTTAATTGCTACAATGCCCATCTTTATACAAACCTCAAATGAGCCATTGTTTTAGCTATTTATTGCTGGTAATAAATTAACCCAAAGGGTAGCGGCATGAAATCACACATACTTGTAATCTGGTTTCTGTGAGTCAGGAATCTGGGCACAGATTCTCTGCTCAGGATTTCTCACAGTCTGCAGTCAAAGGGGATGGTGGGGCTGAGGTCTCATCTCCAGGCCCCCCTGGGAAGGATTCACTTCGAAGCCCCTGGGGTTTATTAGCAGGATTGAGTTCCCCGAGGGCTTCAGCTTCCCCTGGCTGTTGGCTGGAGGCCTTGCCTGGTGTTTGGCCACATGGGCCTCTCGACAATGGCAGCTGGCTTCTTGAATGTGCAGAGTCCAGAAAGATGACAGTCACAGTCTCTTGTGATCCGCTCACAGAAGTGATAATCCATCACCATGGCTGCATTCTGCTTGTTAGCAGGAATTCACCAGGCACAGCCCACGTTCACAGGTAGAGCTCACACGATGGCATGAGACCAGGAGGCGGGTCCCTGAGGCCATCTTGGAAAGCTGTCTACCACAGTCATCTGATGGGCACAAAGTGATGGTTTCAGTTTTGTCTCTGCAAGCCAGATCTAGGTAGTTTCTCATCCATCCATCCAACTGTCCATCAGTCCATCCCTTCATTTCATTCATCTCAGGGTCTGTCCATCTGTCAGTCCATCCATCCATCCATCCCTTCATTTCATCCATCCATGGGTCCATCTGTCCATCCATCTATCCATCCATCCATCCATCCATCCATCCCTTCATTTCATCCATCCATGGGTCCATCCATCCATCCCTTCCTTTCATCCATCCTTGGGTCCATCCATCCATCCCTTCATTTCATCCATCCATGGGTCCATCCATCCATCCCTTCATTTCATCCATCCATGGGTCCATCCATCCATCCCTTCATTTCATCCATCCATGGGTCCATGGGTCCATCAGTCCATCCATCCATCCCTCCGTCTATCCATCCATCCATCCATCCATCCGTCCATCCATCTCTTCCTTCATTCAACAAACTTTTCAGAACATACATTAGGCTCAGAAGATTTCAGAATAACTGAATTATTCCCTCTTCCACTTGACTGTATTCCGCCACCAAAGCTCCCAGTAGCGGTCTCACCTATGTGGGGCTTGGGGAGGCGTCGCTGTCTTGTAGGAGCCTCCTTCTCCTTCCTCCAGCTGCCCTCAGATTCCACATTTCTGAGACCCTAGTCCTGCTCACTCCCTTTGCTGGGCACAGCTCAGAGCTCCGTCTGCGGTCGTGTACTATTTGGCTTTCCTGATGGAGTCAGGGGCAACAGGGTGGAGTAGGAACTGATTTCACACTCCTGGGTGAGCAGGGCAGGGAGAGGTGCAGGAGTGGCTTGAGGCCTGGTCTCACCTGCCTGTGAACCCATCTTCCCACCCAGCTCCCCCAGACCTAGAGCCGAGGAAGTGAGCTCTGAGTAGAGGGTGGCAGTGGGTTGGTGAGGGGTTGGCGAGGGTCAGTTGGTTGGCTGGGGTCTTGAGGTGCCCAGGAGGATGTCTGCAGAAACTAAAATTGCATACTGGACACCATCTGTTTCAAACATTAACTGGGCACCTAGTTCATGTGGGTACTGTGCCAGGCCCTGGGGCTGCAACAGGGAGCACTGCAAACTGCACCTAGCTTCCCTTCTCCACCTCCACTCCCTCACCACCCCACTGCTCCTGCAGGATGATTGCAACCTCATTTAAACAGGTGTCCTGGCTTCAGTCTCCCTGGTTCACTTCTGCCCTCCCCACCCATCCCACGCAGTACTCAAGTGGATCAGCCGACATAGACCTGCTCCTGTCACTTTCTTGCTCAAAAACATTTTACATAACCTCTGTTAACAGTTTCCCAAGTGCCCTTGCAGAAATGTCTGTCTGTACACATCTCTCCCTCCCTCCTGCCCGTCCCTCATGCACACACATGTGGGGTCGCACCGAGCACGTGCTCTCCTGCAGTACTGTCTTGGTAGTTTTCCAGTTCAGCACTCTTTGAAGGTTTTCCCTGTGCTTAATGGCTGGCTGCTGTAGGAATATTCTGGGATGCTACTGAGAAATCCTTTTAAGGCCTGGGTGCACTTGACTGAAAGCTTTTAGGATGCTTTTCTGGGTGATCATTTCTCATAGACCATTAATGGACTTAATAATCACAAACCCCCCCCAAAAAAATAAAGGGATTATGAAATTATGCTACAGCTGGAGCTGAATATTCAAGTGTAATGAATTCAATTCATTATAAGAGAATTTTTTTTTAAGATTGATAACTTCTCAGGTTGAGTTTGCTTTTAGGAGTGGGAAGAAGAGAAGAATCTAAATGTTTGAAGTTTTCATTGTTGTGGTTATTTAAAAAAATAAAACATCTATATAAAAGTAATGGGCCAGACCTGCTCAAGAAAAACAACTGATTAGAAGCAGAAATACATGTCAAAACATCTACTCACTCCCTGTGAGCTTTGTTCTAAGCACTTTCCTGGATTAACTTGTTTAATCATATCTATAGAATTATGACAAGAAGGCCAGACACACAGAGGTTAAATAGCTTGTCCAAGGTCACACAGACTTTCCGGAGCAGACAGAAATGCTGGACATAATTTTGTGATATAAATGCATATTTCAGTTCAAAAGCAAGAAAGGGTAAATCTCCAAGTGTCACAAATAAATAGGTAATTCTGTATTGGTCCTGGTGAGCTGGGGACTTTGTCCCTATCTTGCTTATTTGTTTTAAATGAATCTTTATGGGGACAATAATCAAAGTCTCTGGACCTGGACACAGCAGGAAGCCTGAGGAGGAGTTATAGCTCAGCAGTAAAAAAAAAAAAAAAAGCTCCAAGCCCAGGAGAAATGGCATCACCAAGAAAGTGAAGGACAAGCAGGGTCCACACATGAGGTCTGACTCTCAGCCCCTCGTGATGTCCCGAAATCACGAGATGGAAACTGAGATAGAAATGTGAGATCCTGTGAACCCTTAAGACAGGTAGAGGCAACTATGGGGAGGTCTTCACAATCCAGGGCACCAGTGGGGACGACCCCCTCATCACACAGGAAAGACAACTCCTATTGAGGATCAGCTCACACACAAAAATTGTAAAACAATTATAAATCCCTTGAGGAGCCCAACCTGAAGAAGGAATCCCACAGAAATGGAAGGTTGAAAAGCGAAGAAATAGAAATACTAGAAAAATGAAAAACATACGTGTCATATTATGACTTTCATGAGATTCCAAAGGATGGCAATTCAGTTTCTTTTGTTCACAGTTAGGCAATAACGAGACTGAGCAAGCCAGGCATCCACAAATACCTGAGCTGTCTGCAGGAAGAGGTTGGAAACATTTGTGTGTGGAGAAGGCAGGTGATCGCTAGGGCTGTAACACAACGCCACAGGCTGGAAGGGCTTAAACAACAGAAACACTTTTGTCTCACAGTCCTGGAGGTTAGAAGTCCAAGATCAAGGTGCCAGCAGATTTGGTTCTTCTGAGGTGGCTCTCCTTGGCACACAGGTGGCGGCCTTCTCTCTGTCTTCACGTGGTTTTTCTTCTCTGTGTGTATGTTTGTGTCTAATCTCATCCTTTCATAAGGACCCTGGTCGTATTAATTAGGGCCCCTCCCTGTAACCTCATTTGATCTTAAAGACCCATCTCCAAGTACACTCACATTCTGAAGTACAAGGAATTAGGTCTTCAACACGGGAATTTGGGGATTACACCATTCAGCACATAACAGAACGCACACCTTTGTCTTCACTTTCAATTCCAATTCTACCGATTACTAACTGTGTGACTTTGGACTAGTTACATAACCAGTCTTTGCCTCATTTTCTCTTGATAACCAGTCCCTGTTGCACAGGGTTGCTGTTGGAATTAAATAAATTCATGTATGTAAAGCTCCAAAAAAACGAGGACAAAGTGCTTAAAGAGAAAAAGAAGTAAAATGGAAAAATTTAAAAATATATTGCATTAGAAATTCTCACTGGGAATAACTTTAAATTCCATGATTTGCAAGATAAATCTCAGAAAAATCACCCAGAATGGAACACCAGGGGGTAAAGAGATGGAAAATATGAAAGAAGTCTAAAAACGCCTACAGAATAAATCAAGAAAACCCAACATGTGTTTAACAGGTTGTTGAGAAGGAGAGAATTAAAACTGGAGGAGAGGTGAGAGTCAAAGAAATATCTGGGGACTTTTCAGTCTTGAAGGGCCTGAGCTCCACATTTTAAAAAGCATGCCAAGTCCTAGGCAAGGTAAAGAAGATAGCTCACCCCTGGGCAGTCCAGAACGGAGCTGCAGAGTATCCAAGACTAAGACACAAACACACCCTAAAAACCTTCAAAGAGAAAACAGATGACCTTAAAGTCACAGTGATCCCCGCAAGCCAGGCCCCTTCCCCAGGCTCC